TGCAAGTTATTGAGAATTGGCTGATTATCTTACGGGCTATTCAACGAGAAATGTAAAACGATATACCTCCACGAAAACTGAGCTCAGAGTCAGATTGCCCAAGCCTGGACAGAAGCATTTGGAATACGAAAGTTGGGTTCGAACCACGGACCCTCCGGTTAGCAAGTTTGCGTCCTAACAACTGGACTATTTCTAGCTCAGTTACCCGTGACGGGATTGTTGAGTGCTCTAGCCAGCCATCCCCAATATGTTTTTCTCTGCCAATAGGGAAACTCAAAGTCAAACCTTACTACTCAAATGCTGTACCGCGGGAACCTCGTTGAATGAGCTTCATGAGTAAATTGCTATACGCCGTTTGGGAACAGCTAGTTTCCCGAACCACTATATACTCTTGTGAGCTAACATCGTCACTTTTCTCTACGGTCCGTTCCTTCTCGGAATGTCTACAACCCTCTAACCACAGGGTTGCCGTTAATAACCTTACTTCCTTACGGGTCTCTTTCATTCAGTAGAATAGATGGAGTTCACTAAAAGGCTTATCGGGTGGTATACCCTGCTTTTACAAAGAAGCTACAATGATGACTAATGAATTGATGATGATGATGAACTCGACACTTTGTGCTCCTATATCATGAGAAGGCTACTCGTATGTGATGGCGGTTTACCATGTGGCAGTGCTGTATGTTCAGTTAGGGTGTATCGACCTCGACATTTTAGACAACACCCTCTGTCCTCAGTTTTGTCAGGTTAACATTCAGCCATGTTGGCAGACTGTACACTACCCTCGAAGGTAAGACGGCTTTGGATAGTGTGACCGTGGCAACGTCTTGGATGTTTGATGGGTAAAATTGTGCAAATCTTTGGTATGTTCCCCTTGCAGCATTGTCGCTCATTTTCTAGCTTTTCTAATCCAATGGATATATTTTCGAAGCCACTGGAGACGTTTCTCTGACGCATTTATACACCGTGGGATGGTTTCTAACACAGGTTCGCACCCTTGTCCAAACCCGTTGTTTTCGTCCAACTTTGTTGGTTGTCCATTCAGATTCAACGGATTTTAACGAGTCCTGAAACTGCATGGTAAAGAAAACGCTAACCCCGTACACAGTTATTACTTCCAAAATCTAATCAATTTTTTTTTATTTTAGTGGAGTGGCGTAGCCCTCTGCCCCTGAGTGCCATACTTGGCCCTACGGATACTACCTCCCTTCCTTGAGTAACCAACTAATGTTTATCGTTGTGCATACCTTTGTTGAAACGATGATCCAGTTCTTCGTTAGACATGGTCTCATGCAAACGGTTTTTGCATTGCATCTCTCGCTTTACCGTAGCTTCCTAGTATCCGTGATAAGTCGTCCAAATTCGGTCTGTCTCGTCACATTGTAATGTGGCCCTGGCTAACAGTTGTGATTAGGTATCCTTTTTCTGACTGATCAGACGGTCGGTTCTCACTAACTCGTCTGGTCCCGGCCAATTTATTTTGTGCGCACTGGTGTCGTCATTGAGAAAGGTGTCATTCAAATGTGGTTATCTGGTGGCATCTGATAAGAAGACATACACACGAACCATAACCGGTGTCCTGTCGTTATTACATGAACGATGTCGATTCGGTCGTTTATTTATGCCTCCGTGAACCAATGGTAACATTTCGATGTACAGGCATAGGCCAATTCAAGAAAAACGAATCAGTGCACTTCTCTAACGAATATCACTCACTCACAAGGTACACGGAGAAAGAGAGGTATGTGCATCCCTCATTCACGTAACCGAAATTGTTGCTTCATGTTACCTGACAGACAAAGCTGTGTTTAAACCTATACTCCCTCTGCTTCACCATCATGCTTTTTCTCAAGACTCCCGATGTGTCGACACAACGGAAATTCCTATAGTCGGATACATGGGTGGAAAATTAATATGAGTTTTCGGACGAATTCGTCGTCAGTTTAAAGGAGGGTGAAATAAGCGTATCTGCTTGTAAACTAATAATTCCTAAGGTAGGCAGAATAAGCTGCGTTTATGAGGTCAATGAATGCAGCACCGCCGTAGGTATCGACCTAGTCACAGCTTCTTGGAAGTGGTTTACATCGTTTCATCATTTAAGGCAAAACCACTGTTGGAAAACCTCCCAAATCTTTCGACTCAACTTCCCGATATTGTCAAAAGACTATAAGTAGCTCAAGAGGAAGAACAATTTATATATTGCGTGAGTCTTCCATCCAAAAGGTTGTCACTCGAAGCCCAGCCAAGAGGTGATCACGTGATGTGAATGGCGTGATTTAATGCTTAATTGCGCTGTATTCTGCCTGAGCATGCGCTAATCACACTGCCGATCGGCCACTCTTAGCCCAACGTCGTGGTGTTCAAGTGATAGCCGGGAGATCGCGGGTTCGAATCGAGATTCGTTAGATTTGCACTGCTGGTTATTTTCAATAAAGGTGAAACTGCTGTACAGGTTTCCTTAGCTTTCCAGGGTAGATCGTATCAACCTGCAGAACGAAATCTCGATTGAATTTTCACAAAGCCATTGTAGCAGATAGTTGTCTCAAGTACTGAGAATGAATTCTAAAAAGTAATGCCAGCGGGTCTTTCTTTCCCATTCTATTCATGACAACTTATCGGTGGCTTCGGTACCCTGATTTATCAGAGGATAACTTGACTACATTCTTTTCGAAAAAAACTGCAGATGACGTTATAAAGGAGGGAACCTATATTTTCTCATGTTATATGGTGAAGTGAATATGATAGTTTCCGGTGTCAAGTTTCCGTGACTTCAGTGATATTTTGTCCTAAATTCTCTGATATCACTCAATTGTGAATAGGTCATCAGAATCGAACGCGCTTGCAATGCATGCCAACTGACCGGAGTTGAACACCAGACATGGTAACAAAACACCATCAGAAACAATACGTTTTCCAATTTCTCACAAACCCCATACCTAGGATAATGGAATTAAGTGTGCCCGGACTCAGCACTGCATGGAACATACAATCAGGTTGAAACTTTGATTCAGTTCAGTATATTTGTCCCGGACAGTATGACCGAGAGGTACGAAACGTCGTCGTAAACATTTTAGACGGATCAAAAGGACAACAACATGATCAAACAATACAACAATCGTGAATGAAACAGGAGTTTCGGATATGCTTTTAGTCAAATTCCCCAAAATTTCAACTTCAACATTATCCTACTTCTGAAGGATAGTAAACTTCAAATTGTGCAGTTTGTGTACAAACCAATCTCGTTAGGAGATCCCAGTCGTTTTTTGATTGGATTTTAATCCCGTGTGTGAGTGGACCGATCCACATTCTTAATCTTACATCGCAATGCCCATGTGTTTTGAGATACGTTATGTCCATTTCTCCATTATCATTCTGAGACCGCTCGCCCAACCGTTTTCCTGAAATCGAATGGCGTAAATATTCTTAAGTATGAACGGGTTATACGCCTCCCTTTCAGTGAGAATCGCACCTTAACCACAGCACCTCGACAACTGAAATCTAGCTTTTATTCTCATATGTCCATCAGGGCAGTCCAAGTGAAATTATTCCATTCTTTCTCATGACACTACTCGTAGGCTCGATGGAAACTGAACAGCTCATTATCGGCTCCTACCTTCTTAGGTCTTATCAGTTAGACCCGGTTTACAATGTTCCATCAGTCGGCAACATGTACGTATGTGGCTACACACACTCATTTGAGTTTATAGGAGACTCAACTGATTTTTAATGATAAATGAAGGATCCGTTGAATCCCCTTTTATCACTAATTTCGTTTGCAAATGTCTGTTTATCACCATCGTCTTGTTCATATCTGGATGCTGTTGTTCATGAATCAGTTCACTACGTCTCGAAGAAGGCCGCGATTCTTTTCAGCATATTCACGTATCTTTAAATGTGGCATATGCTGTTGGGTTTTCTGCATGCGCCACACACTAGCATCCAATTGGAGAACTCTCTGTAGGTTTGCGCACTCGTCAGTTTATTTAGGGTGGCATGTTGTCTTCTTTCACCTTACCGGAAATTTCACGTTCTCTAATTTCTGACCTTCTCCTGGCAACTGATTGTGCTGCACCAGGTCGCCTCATGTTTCCCACGATATTCGAGATATTGCGATACATGTATATACGTTATGCACTACTCACAAAAGAGGGGTTCAATTGGGTTCCAGGTGAGTCTCTCGCAAAACCAACTTTGTTGGCAAAGGAGTGTATTTCGCTAAGTTCGTGCAATTCGTTTTTAAGTAGAACATAAGGTTGACGGAAACTCGGAGACTGTGCCTAACTGATGAGCCTCAAGAAGGGCGAAGCGGGTCGTGGAATGTTGACGAATTTTCAGCAACCTTAGTGCATTATGAATATACACGTATCGCGATATCTCGAGTATCGCAGCGACCGAAACATGAGGCGACCTTGATGCAGTACGTTCAGTTGCCTGGAGACATCACAAACGAGAGATTCAGGGGGGTTCCAGGTGAGTCTCTCGCAAAACCAAATTTGCTTGCAAATGAGTGTATTTCGGTAATACGTCGCTCCCTTTCAACTCTTGCGGTACACTGGCCACTTCGGGATCCTGCTGTGATGATCTTCAAAAATGTTTCCTTTGTGTGATATAGTTAGAGTGGGACTACTACCCACGACCGCTTCGTCTTCATTCGGGCCCATCCGGTGGACATAGTCCCAGGAAGTTGGGACAGCCGATCTTTGATTTGCACAGCATTGTAGTTGACCGTTTACACCTGAGCTAATATGCATGATGAAATTACTGGGTCTGGAGCTTCCTTTGAGTCTGTTGCTCCCTATGTTGTTTTCACCCACAGATAAAAGTTACCATTGCGTTCTCCGGGCACCATCCACATGCTGTACTTGTTCACCAGTTGGAGTACCTTCCATAGAGATAAATCTTCAGGGAGTACTAGATACTCCCAGCCTTTTATGCGTTTTTTTATTCGATTCTAAAAAACTGTGCTTCACCTCCTTATTTTCTTCCCTCAACTGATTCAGCGAGTTATCACGTCGCACTGGCAATGACAGTGGAGCGTCCGTTTTTATTGCCAATCCTAATATTTCCCGAGGAACTGCACCGAAATCACCCACTGTAGATATAAATAAAGAAGGTTTCCAAGGCCTGTACCACAGGCTGACCGACTTCGCGGCTCGACTGATCAAGCGTCGCACGGCCACAACAGCTTTGTTTTGCGCAGTTGCTGACCCTTCAGTTCTTGAACTGACCGGAAACGGGGAAAGAACTCATACCACAGATGCGTCTCAGAATCGACCAAATGTGCGCAGTGCCCCTTTATACCAAGATCTTCGACTGATTTCCTCCTCTGTTCATCCTTCGAAGGCGAAAGATGATTGCCTCACAGCTGCTTCTCTGCTTTGGGCTGTGAGTGAAAAATGGACACGTCTGGACACAAATCCAGAGCCTTTGCCACTTCCAAAGCGCCCAGAAGTGATTGACAATCCGCCCCATATAATTGATAATATGCGTTCCCAAAATCCGGTTGCCTCGTAAATGTTTAGCCCCATTAGTGCTTAGTCTGTATAGTTTGAACATGTACATCAATCGGCTTTTGTGTCCCAATATTTACTATCGGGCTCCAGTTTACATGCAATGCGAAAATTTCAGTTAGAAAACATGGTGTGAAATCCCGTTTTCCTAATTGGAGGTACAACAGGGCTTGGTTTTTTAGGGCACGTAATCTAAATATCAATCCATAAACCTTGTCACAGCTGGACCTGCTTGAAGAAGACATCAGCCTAGCGGGTTACCAGATTGGCCGGTAGAGGAGTTTGGTGTACACGGCATCAAATCGAACCGGTGTCAATTCTACCGAAGAATTCTTCCGTTCACTTACTTTTGGTTGCCGGGATTCTGATATAGTTCTAGGATCATGGTACAGAAGGTGTATTCTGGCACGGTGCACTCAACCAAATATTACCCCTTCAGAGGTTGCGCGATAAGTCAACAAGAGCCTGGATAATTTGGTTTGATCCGGCACGGGTCCCTGTTTTAGAAGACACTGTCTCACCATCTGTACTGTGCGTTCCGACAGATCAATCGATGCCGGATGTTAATCCGTTGGCTGGACCGTTTTGGAAGAGATTCCGTGAAGGTCTCGTTGTCGGGCAGGGTAGCACTGTCTGTCTACATGGTTTTCGATACCCCAGCCTGTGCAAACAGGATACGTGTTTTTCGGCCTTTATCTCTGTTTACATGTCAGTTGGCAGGAGACTGAATGTGATAATCGTATATACGATAGTTCTGGTCGTCGCAGCTTATAAAAGCGGATAGTGTAGGGTGGATGACGTGCTGAGGACAAACGAAAAGCAAGATAATGGCGAATTAGTTATTTCAGCAGTACTGATTGCGTGGCGTAGCTATCTCCGTGATTGCCTCCCGCTATTAATGCGATATCCGTCGCCTCCATTTCGCAGACGACATCCGCCAGTGCGGCTGCAACTTTTCGTTGTTTTTCGCGATCCATCTCCAGAACATGCTTCTCACATGTCTTTCAGCAATCCTAGCACAGTAGAGCAGTCGATCACCTAGTATACAGAGCACATAGCCAGACGAGAGTACTTGATTCAGCACAGTTGAATAGATAAGCGGCTGATTTGTTGACAAAAACCATTCGTCACATTTCGGCATTGCGAATTTGATTTTCCCATGATACATGAGCAATGATCCGAAGGCACTCATGGACAAATAGACACAGTCTTTTGTCCCCAACTCACACCAACCAAGTTTCAAAACCGTAAATGCTGTAGACCCGGCTGGTTAATGTCACATATACTCAAAGGGTGCCCAAGTTTAAGGAACGTAGAGCTCACTTTTGTGTTTCCGGCATTCACCCGGTCAGCAATTCTATTGTGACCAAGTTTGGTGGGTTAGTAACGCCGTCTTTTGAATGTCAGAGCGTCCACAAAATCAGATGTCAAGACTGTTTCGTTTATGGCACCTAAGCACCAGTTTCCGATAATAATGCATCACTGTCCATGATGATGACTATTAATATTGGAGGTATTTAGTGTACTTTGGATCTGGATGTAATCTGAACCTAGTAACGCAATATTATCAGCAGGATCAGTGTTGACGCTGATGCTTCACTGCCGTACAATCACAACCCGAGCGGAACTCTTCTTGATTTTCATGACTCTGTTTCTCGCGAGTGCTGATGAGCCTGCGTGGAACTCGCCTGGGAGCAACTTTGAAGTGTTGGCTACTAGGATGAAACTCCGATTATCTTCACACTCAGATCTAGCACCTTTTTACAAACATTCTGTTAGCGATTCATTACCTTCCCTGTTTTATCTAACCGGTTGGGTCCTTCGCTTTCATACTTAGAGAAAGCGGAGAAAAGAAAGTCACGGTCGGCTGCATTGTTTCTCCTCAATATCTGAATTTCATCTTTGACTCCATCTTCACATATAGTTGTGAAGTTGTTGGCTCATTGACTGTTGTGCTAGACACCACCAAGTTGCTATTTCCTACATGATATGATTCGGAATCCACTATTGAATCGTCATTGATTGCAACGACCTCATTGACCTACAGTTTCTTTGGCCCGGTGTTCCGGTTGACCGCTTTGTTTCACATTCGTGGGTTGTCTAAGCAGTTGCTGTTGCTGCCTTTGACGACGGTGAGTGTTATACTGGTGGATATTTTTTTTCTTGAGTGCTAGAATATGGGCTGCGGCTTGGGCACGAATCTGGGCATGACCTGGCTTCATACACCTGTTCCAAAGTCAGTGACAGTCATGAACATAAGCTGGGTATTTATAGCTAATTGTTGTGTTTCCTCGATTGGTTGTGGTTAGGAAGGTGCCAAGTAACACGATGCTCAAGTTTGTGCAGAAATTTCATGCTTGCGATAAGTAGACACTCGTCAACGCATGGTTATGGAAAGGAATCGCAACCGTTTGTTCTGAGAGCAGCCGAGGCAGCTTTAATGACTGTCGTTTTTTACAGTTGATAGTTCGGATCGTCCTTTGGAGTAGCGATACCTGTCTTACCACCCTTCGGATTAGAAATGTACTGGTTACCTTTACAGAGATGACACTGTTCACGACAATTCAGAGTCGTCTGTTGAGTATTCTGACTGCTTCGGTTCACGGGGATTGACCAGGCAGAATGTCTTCGGCGCAATATCCGCACCACTGAGATCACCGGGTGCCATTTCTGAATCATCCGATATCCCGAGAGTAAAATACGCTGGGGAAAGCCAGTATCACTACTTCCGAAAATATGCAAATGCTGGTCGCCTGAAGAAGACACCTTGCTGCCATCACACCCCTTATGCAGAGGACAACATGTGCTCCTTGTCCGGTTGCTCCCTTTTGACATTTCTGGTATGATTAGACCTTGAGTAACGAAGTTCCATTCACTTCAGCTCTCGGGATCATTGCAACGCCCAGTCTCAACACCTGTATAGAAAATCATTCACTGGCGTTATCCATCGATTCTTCTGCATTTCAGCATAATACCACAAGTTCACCATTAAATTATACATGCCAGAGGTGCCAAATGCGAGACATTTGGTTACACTGGGAGACATACCGTACAGATACAGCGCTGACCTTCTCTCTCGCTAGAAATTTGAGCAAACTCATCTCGACTTGTCTGCTGGGGACTGAGACAACATGGGGACGATGGTATCTCACGAGTTCGATGCTACCGATACAGGTATGTCCGCAAACATTTTACGTATGATGTAAGAGCCGGCTTACTGGGAATGCCGTAGTAAGCTTAGGGACCAGATACATCGACCCTAAGCTTTCAGAGTATACTAGGTTTTATTGCTTTCCTATGTATACTTTTTGGACTAACTGTTTCCACCCTTTGGGTCACCAGTGACCCGAGACGACTGGGGATAGTCAACACCATATATATCTGAAATAATCTTGCTCACTGGATCACTTTGGTATCTACTGTTGCAATCGGGTGTTAGGGGAAAAATCCCGGTTGAATGTAAACAACGTGTTAACTGTAGCCCAGGTGTGCAACGAAGTATGCAATTACTTAGTAATTGTTGTGCTGACGGGCACAAAAAACGCTGACGAAGTGCATCGTTTCATCGATAAAATCTGGCCCTTCACTTCTGACAACATCCCAGCCCATCTTACCACAACTTCGCTGATCTGGCTCGCGTGAAGACCTTGTACTCGTATGATAAGATCTGAACAACAATTTACGGGCCGATGTAGTATATGTTCAAAATGCCCATTAGCGTCTTCTTTGCACAAGAGCTTCCGTCCATAATGACGGCATTATATCCTCCAGAGTGCTGGATGGTTCTTTTACAAAATTCGTGATATTCGGCTAGTCATTGGAGGATCCCTGACCCATTTTGGTAGACACACCGCCCTGAATATGAGCAAAGCGGTACTAACGGTACCCCCTTTATGGTAATGTGATGACCCTCCCATTGTGTCAGCCTATGAACTATCGTCCTTTCCCTGTTAGACCTGCTCCCCAGTTTACAACAGTTCACAGAATTCACACTCATCCACCTACCGAGTTGCGTTGCTGCTCTGCACTGCGATTTACGAACTTGCAAAGTAAACTTGACTGATGCCTCTAAGCCTCACGGTCGGTATTTCGTCTCCCGTCTATTCCTTTCTAATATGTTATAAACAGCTGTTGGTTCCCGTCCCTGTATCACTGTTTGTCTCCCGTACACTTCGAGCAAGTAGATTGGTCCTATCCCAGTGCTTGATTAGGGTAGTCCAGTGCTATCATCAATTCACAGATTGTCACGGGGCTTGGGTGCTGAGATTCAGGTGCCCCGTCAAACAACTCTCCCCGGCTGACCTATCCTCGAACGTTATACTTGGGTATTCGCGTACCCTCCATGCTCTGTGTGGCAAAGCACGATCATGTTGAGTTCAAACACTTGTTGATTTGATTNTGATACCGTGTGCTTGTGCCATAGAGCTGCAAAGAATAGAAGTTGAACGTTAACGATAAAACCAGCGGTTCATATTATCCAAAAGGGAAAGCAGTCCAATGATTAATGGGCCAAGAGTATCAGCTCAAAGCATCGGCTTAGCCTTTTGTCGAACCAGCAGTGACGTGGTTTTATTGGGTCCGATACCAAGTTTCACTAGATTTGCAGTACTTAGCAGATCTGCCTATGTTGCCCTCAGAATTTTAATCTAATTCCTGGAGAGCCTAGTACACAGTGTCAGGAGGCCAGCCGCCCTTCATAACCGAATATCACGTCGATTGGACAGATGTGTCACGTGCGGGCTACGGAAGTGTCAGGAAGCCGCCCTTCATAACCGAATATCACGTCGATTGGACAGATGTGTCACGTGCGGGCTACGGATCAAGTGAAGACATGCATTCATTGGGCAGAAGGTCAGCCAATCTGGGTCGATCATCTCTACCTCGGCGCCCCTCGTCCCCTCACGAAAATTCTAGCGCGACCTTATGGGTCATTCCGTGATGACCTTATGAGTGCAACTGTAACAATCTTCGTTTGTCTCCACAAAGGGCTGAAGCTACCGTGCCTTTTGATACACCACAGCGGGCGCAGTAGGAATCCACGGGCCGGCACAAAATTTGCACTACCGTCGCAAGCTACAACGCGCAGCAAAATCACTGGTGAAAATGCCTAGACTTCCTCTTCTGTCCGCGCCATTTACACGGTCAGTCCGTCCATTACAGGCTCTACGCCGGCGGCGTGGGCTACTGGATATATTATCCTGTAATTAAAATCGGTGGATGCTGGAATACCGAGCGACACCGTTCAATCAACTCACAAAATTTCATGGAAGATTTTGTTGGTATCGTTTGCTTATTTACACGGAACTCTCTGGAAAACGCTGTCCACAAATCTCACAAAGCCCCTAATTGTTTCGCTGAAGTTTGGCTCTGTTTCTCCAGAAGAAAGTTCACATTTGCAATGCCCTTTGTACAGAAAACAACCAGATGACTAAACTGATGGCATTGTGAAGAGGTTTCGAAATTTTCAACGAAGATTTCGTCCTGTGGGTGCACTGTACATCCCTATTTGGAATCACCAGCATTGTGAAACTCACGAAACTGCAGGGGGTTTCCAGCCGACATTTTATTCTTTTTCATCAATCGTCGACATAAAGCGTACTCCACACTAAATAGGCGGCGCGATAATAGCACCGTTATTAAATGGCGTCTTTCTTAAAAGACGCTGCTGGTGGTTTCGTATCCATATGGTATAACTTAGCCGTTTTTGAGCCAGCACCAGCTGGATCACTTTAAACTGTGCATCTGCTGAATGCCATTGTTTAGCGTTCAGGGTTGCACAGTACGATAGCGAATGGCTGTGAATAAACTACCTTTAAGGTGTGTCTGGCAATCGGTGGAAACATGATTGGTATTGACTGACTGGCTTTGACTGGTGTCTCGTTGACTGAAACCAAATCAGGTGAACTTCCGTCAGGTGCTGCAGAAATTTACCATCCTGACGATCTGAATGTCACCGCAACTGCGTGGGTGCTGTCAGCGGTAGGAAGTTGTCTCGCCATTCCTAATTGAAAGCATACTTCAGACCTGTAAGATGCTCAGGAGTCGAGATGCTTTAGGAGAGGAGCAGCAGCTCAGAGGACCTGCTGACACCCATTGCGCCCAAATTGATCTGATCGTGAGGGTCAACTACCTGATTCTCTCACCGACACGTAAAAACAAAATAATGGACAGGAAATATTCCTCTAACGCAACACTACAACCAGTCACAGTGCGTGAAGTGAGCGTGGAGGAAATCGGATCTCAATAGAATAGCAGTTTTTCTGCCCAGTAAGCACAATTTCTGTTGCGCTGTGAAGAACTACGTGAGAGTTGTGATGCACATCCTCCAAGTTACCAATACGTGAACAGCGAAAAGATGTTTGTCCTGCACACAACCGGTTCCACAATTTGAGGACACAAAATTCTATTCATAGTAGGGAGTCTGTTCGAAAAGCAGAAGACTCGGTCACAAAACTGGCTGTCGGATCCAATTTGATGAATCACGCTAGTGTCGTTTGTAGCAGGAAGAAGTATTCGTCCTCAGAACAGCATAGTAAAAAGTCACTGCCTTAAATGCCACCAGTTAGGGTCAGGAGCTATAAACAGTCCCTGTGGAAGCCACAACATCATCCGCCATCTCTGAGCAAATTCCTATCTTCTGTTCAAAGGATAACTGCACTTGTACGACGGCAGATGTAATCATAAATACAGCTGTTCCTTCGGTCGAATATTTTTGAGTTCAGCACCAGAAGAATGTGGAAAAATTCCCAGCGAAATGACCAAATCACTCGTTTGAGGAAGGCGTTGCCTTCAGTAGTATACGGACTATTGAACTGAGGCAAACTGAATGGCGTAAAAGGAGCCGTCAGCCTAATCACGAATGACTGAAATTTTGTTGTCGGAGTGAGCAGGATAGGGTTCGAATTTCGGCATGGTGAGTAAAATTTGGTGTTTTTTTGGTGGGGACGATATTCCAAGAACTTTCTGAACAGTCACACCGATAGTCCCTCCTGGAATAGGATCTTAACTCTAGATTTTCAGGAAAAAATTAATCAAGAACAACGACGCCTTTGTTCTGACGGAGACCTTTGTCAATACGAGCATGAGTGAACCTCTTAAGACAATTCCAGAACTTTTCAACGCAGGGATTTCCATGTGTTTGAAAACATCACTGATCTCACCATTCCAAAACTTCGTACACAAATGAGAACTTTCTTATCTAGCGAAACATGTGTAAAGACTCGAATCCGAGAAATACTGACTGCCATGAAATGCCAGAGGTGATTATGGCTGTTTGCGGAGGTACGTTAACCAAGAGTTTTTGTTGCGTCATTGCATGTTCATCCCGACCTACCTTATGCAGAGTGGTCAACAGACAGCCTAAATGAAATAGCAGTCTATTTTCATGAAGGAAACTATTCACAAGATTGCTGAAAACTCTTCGACAGCCCACGACCGGTTTTGTAGAACATAAGGTTGATGGAAACTCGGGAACTCCGCCTACCTGATGAGCCCCAAGAAGGGCTAAACCGGTCGTGGGCTGTCGAAGAATTTTCAGCAACCTTGTGAGTAGTTTCCTTCATGAAAATATACTGCGATATCTCGAATGTCGTGCCAACTAAAACATGAGGCGGCCTGTGTGCAGCACATTCAGTTGTAAAACATCATAAACAAGAGATTCAGTTGAGTCTCTCGTGAAGAACCAAACTGATTTGCAAATGAGTGTATTTCTCGAAAAATAGCAGTCTAATTTGAAGGTCCTCTGATATGAAACAATGAGCTTTCCGTGCCTACTACCATTTCGAAAAAGCTCTGCACCAATGCGTCAACTCTGTTCAAAATCCGCCGATTGGCTTCTCATAAAGATATGTCTATCACATTTAACGCTGTCGTACTAGCACTTATATTGTACAACTAACTTATTCACAGCCATCTGATTCAGTATGCTGTTCTCTCCACATATTCGCCAAAGATCGGTGTCACACTGAATTACCCGGGAGCACACTAGGACGTTCGATCCTCTCTGTCTGAATTCTCTTCGTGTTACAACACTCTCTACCTCTTAGAAGGACATTTCTGGAGCATTCGAACAGCTCTGTGAGGATCTGATACGAAGTCATAACTAAAAAAGAAGCTACAACAACCCTGTTTTCTAATTAAGTAAATACATTTCCAGAAACCACCGTTAACTGACCTTAGTGTCAGTATTCAAAGTAGAATATACTCTACTGCAAGAATTAATAGGTCATCTTCATGTTAGATCAGCTCCTTCAGTTCCACAGAAATGCGCTAACTTGAAGGAACCATCTTTGTCTAGGAAGATATGCCTTTGCTTCGTTGTTGTCCTGTATCTCGTTCTCGACTAAACTCCATACCTGACAATAGCTACCAAAGCATGTATGCAAAATGTTCGATTGCGTTGTCTTGCTCCACGAAACATGCACAAGTATGGCCTTCATGAACAGTAAAAAGCTGTGATGTGGTGGAGCCACTGGTGAACTGCTTTTAAGTGCCAAGTGAGCGTCAGTTGCTGTTTCCTTACCCGCCGATACCTGTGCCATTCCCAGAGCAAATGAACTGCACCTACATCATTCACCAATTCTTCCGAAAATATTATCTCATCCAGTCTGACGCATGTAGGTGTCATGGTATAGTTCTACTGCATGCCCTGGCAGACACTATGGCTTGCAACATCCAGCCGGACAAGCATATGGTGAAAGATGCCCTTTCAATGGACTCCCATACTACAAAGCCCCTTTGTTCCCATTGCTTTTGGAACCACAAGCCACTGCATCAGGGACACTGGATGCATTAAGGGCAAAAGAATATGTATCATATTGGTTTTGGAATGAATCACCTGGTTGTGGTCTTGTACGCAGGTTTTGGAGACAACATACATCAACATGTAGGGAAAGCTGACCTTCAGCAAATAACGCCTGCACCCAATTTGACAGAAAGAAAACATGGTACGTTTTAATGTGAATTTGATAAAAAGTTATTTTTGTTTATTGGGCGCTAGCTCAGGCAGAGGACAACGGTCAGTACATTGACATCTAAGTGAACAGTAGCGTACGAGATGAAAGGTGTAATCGGCTCTGAGTGAGGGTCACTAAACGGGGAGCCGTCACAGCAAATGATAAACCGCCGTAATCTAGGCCGAATTACGTGGTTTGCCTTGTGTCATAAAATCTCGCCCAAAGGCATTGAGAGAATGAGGTATTCGGTTCCAGAATACCACCTCCAACTTTTAATCTAACAGTCCCTCCCGCAAGACATCGGACGGAAGAGTTTACTTGAAGGAGCCGGTTTATAGTCAATGACTCAGTAGCTTGAACAATTTAGTCCCGATTGTGGGAGAGTCCTGCTACGCAGGAAGTGAGCTTTGGATACCTAGTACACACAGCAGACACGTTTGCGAATGCAACGATTCTTGGTGACGTTCCATAGTAAACAACTCGCCAGAGATAACGGTCAGCTGTGTGCGTGTTGCAGCGTGAAGAATTTAGGACGGATTCTTTATAGCCTGTCAGTCCTAGCGAGGAAGTGATATCACTGTTTCCATAAATATGGAGGTATTAGTCACCTATAGGTAGTACTCTGTTGGTTTCATAGTCCTACCGCTGTTTCATATCCAGACCAACTCGCAGTACGCGAGCTCGCTGCTCTTCGTCTGGCTACGATCCTTTGGCCCTGCTTACATAAACAACCCAGGCAATGTGGCCTGTGGAATCACCGTAACACTCGAGCCTGAGAAAAATGTAAAGATGTTCGCTCTTGGTCAGTTAGTGTATACAACGCCATGTTTTCGACTACCAGAGTACGACGCTTCCGCTTTGTTTTCTTCTGACTTGCGCTCGTTCCAAAAGCATCACCAGCAACTATTTCTGGAGACAACTTTTGTTTGCATAGTCGGATCCTAAAATCTTCTGCGATCGATAACATTCTGAATTGTACTGTTTGTAATCGGCTCAAGGGTGTGCGGCGAAGGAAGTACATGGCACGTTGCCTATATGTGGCACGAGGAATTTCGGCCAAACGTGATGACTGGGCATCCCAGTAAAACTCCTTACAAAAGCCAACCAAAGCAACCGGATTATGGTTGTGCATCCTAATGGACGAACGCCTCTTCGTACAACCAACATACGGCGCGAGCAAGTAAAAGAGTACAAGCAGAAGCTGGCGATACAGTTTGACAGTATGTCTTTAGAATGGATCCCGATGGTAGCGCTGGGAATAAAATTCAAGTGACCTAGTTGCTCCGAATCCTATTAACCCAGTACGAACATGTTTGAGAAAAAACATGAGGCAATCATCAAAAGAACAATCGCTTCTGGTGGCACCAAACTGATTGCACTGCAAATGGATAACAACCGCTCTATAAGAACCTTCCACTCAAGAGACAGTGAATTTGAATCCTTCGTTCTTGCGGTGTCCTCTGATACTTGAGCTGGAGTCAATTTACCTCTACGAGATAAAAATTAAGTAGGTAGACTTAGTTTTTCCTACAACTTTGGTCTGATTGCGTCTGCCGTTTAAAGCGAAATAGACGGAATTAAAATCACCCAAAACAAATCAGAACACAGTGAGTGATTGTCTTCTGGTAGGTGAGCGCAGCTCACAACATTTGTTGAGCCTGTGACCATGGTTTCTTCGATAGCTACTCAGAGGAATTAGTTGTTCCTCGCAGAAAGTCACAAGTTCACTGGTCTAGGACAATCGGAACAACGATAAAAATCTTGTGCTCGTGGATTTCAAGTCACTGTCATGTGCGGCACCCATTTGGGAACAAGGAAAATGTAGAATTACGGTGGAACAAAGTCTGACTGAAAAGAAAAAGTGGACTCAGCAAGGAATATCCTGCAACAAAATTACGGGAGACCCCGATCTGCAGAAAAGTTCTAGCTACGGTGCACAACGCGGAGCATTGATAATATCTTCATCTAATAGGTATGGCTCTTTTGGAACCTTAAATTGGCTATAGAGATGTGTTTCCTCTGTTTTTTCTGTGTTGATTGTGCTCTGAACCCAAAGAGTCAATGCCTCGGAGCAAGAAACGTTGATTTTCTTACCAAGAAAGACAAGTTTACCGACCAAGAATGAGTTTCGTTCTTATTTGAGCTGCGCTGCAGATACCGCCGGGAAAATTCACAATAAAGTTGGATTAGCATGCCAGTTCGGATGAACACGTGCAACTTCACACTTGATTTACTGTGGTCATCTCGATTCAGCAATACATATCGAGATAGCGTAGTGACCGATAACATAGATCAACCAGCAGAAAAACGCGGAATATATGGTAACAACTCCTTCATCTGTGATGTATGCAGTGCGACGACACAGTATTCTGTCCACTATACGACTTCAAAGAAGTCAAGTGAATTCAGTCGCGTTGAATAGGTGCTTTTACCGTGGAGTGACGAAACCGATGTCGTGCACAGTCACAGGTTCGTAACAAAGAAACTGTAGTTACAGAGGAAGGTCGCAAATGAAACATGTACTCTAATGCAATCGAGGAAACAGCTAGTGCCGTATGTTGTACATTTGTACACAAACCCACCAGTTTATTTTACCGGTAGCCATTACAAGTCTGAAAAACTGCAAAGATGAAACCCGACCAGATCAATATCACTGCATTGTCAGTCAATATCACTCAATTCGTGTAAATGCGTGCACCCAATTCGATATGACGATCTACGCTTGGGTGAAAGGAATAAAGATTGACAGGATTCTAATACGTTCAAATAATGGGAGGAATAGAGTGGAGTGCATTGGTAAGTATTTTACGCTTCTCGTTCAGAAGGTCTTCCTTGGGGATGATTCTTAGCATCAGTAGACTGATTTAGTTGGTCTTGCGGGAGGAGGCATCAATTCACAATATTGTCGGGTTGTCTGTCAATCTAATGTCAAAGCCCCAGCAAGAATAGAAACAATGCTCTGTCTGATCTGTTGACTGTCCCGTTGTTGGCGATGACCTTGCTATGTGAGAGTAAGCGCTGCTTTCATTCACACTGAACGCCAGCACAGCAACATGAAGATGACCCAGACAACGACTGGAATGAGTCATGCGGTGTTCGTGTGCTTCGTGTGTGATCGATCTCTCTTGTCAAGGTCTGTCGGTCTTTGCCAAAGTTAGTCACTTTCGGGAAGTTGAGAGCTACGTGTTCCAAAATGTGATACTGTAAGAAAATGGATGAAACTAGAAAAGTATGACTGCAACCGAATGGAACAAAGTAAGGGTTTTACGGAGTCTATTTCATCCTGTGAAGACCGTTTTTCACTGAAACGACTGTTTGACACTTTTCCGGTTGCTTCACTGCTACAAAGCCAGATAAATTATTTTTAGAAGATAGCTCCGCTATTCGTTAGAAACGGGAGATTCAGTAGCATTCAAGTGAGTCTCTCGCAAAACCAAATTGGTGTGCAGATGAAAGTATTTGTGATCACACATTCGTCAGTTCATTAGTTCATGTGACCTTTCACCTATAGACGTGTAGGAATGACTTTAGACCACTCCTTTTGTGCCTTTACGGACAGTCGAATATATCATTCGCTTGGCTGCTCATCAGGCAAAGCTGATCCGATTGAGCTGTTCCCTACAGTCACTCCTGCTGAAAGGCCAAGAAGCTTATCCTTTATTGGTAATTATAGCAGCGTGTATCTCCCGAACGTCTCGGAATGTTTCGAACGCGGGACGTCCCGGCTAGCAGATTGAAGACCTAACGGTTCGGCTACAAGCGGCTGATTAGCAAGCACTTAAGTAGTATATAGCCCACTGGTCCGTTATTCACGGAAACCCCATCACATTTTCACGTATTGACTGGCTTCTCGAGTGACAACTTCTCAGATGAATGAAATAATGAGGATGGAACAGCTGAACGGTGTTTTTCGGCTTTTCACAATAGGTTGGCTCTACTTACTGGCAGAAAAAACGAGATCGAAGAACCGTGGGCCAGTGAACTTTTCTCTGTGGAAAGGACAGTATTCACTCTAAAAGAAATGCTGTCCCATCTGATCCAGAACGGTAGAATATTTTCTATACATTAAAAAGAACCTACACGATTAACTGGTTACCAACCATATGGGAATCTATGTACAAATTTGCCTCCTATAAACGAGGAAACTTTGAAGTGAGGTAGGTCTCGTGAATCTTTAGCGAAGTAAAAAAGTTAGGTTTTGCGTCTACGACCGTGAGCAAGTTCGAATGTAAGCATGTCATTTAACTTATTTGTTTTGGTAGTTAATTCTTCGAGAAAGCTCAAGAAATCGGAATATCCATGTGAAATCTAATCGCGTAAAACATGTTGCCATCCATAAAGTTTATAGCTAATAGCACAGAGATTTGTACAGCATGCATTAGTTATCAATGAACCGAACCAAGAATCGACTGCATATGCGACAAGAAATACTGGATGAAGTAGAGATATCTTGGAGAAATAGATACATCTTGTATGTTAATGCCACAGTTCATTGAGACAAGCAATCACAAAATTGTGTATGCAATCCGGTAAACATTCCCCTTTCATATGACGTCCTTTTAAATATAAAATAGAAAGCGAGTAGTGTTCCAATTTGGAATTTTTGTTTATCGGAATACTTGCAAAGGTTACTGATGTAGACTCAATAGCAACGAACATCTAGCCAAGTTGCTAATTCCCGCTACACCTCACGTCACGCTCGTAGAAGTAGGCTACTGTATTTGGAGTTTATGGTCTCATGGAATTTAATGCTCCCGCCAAACAGCAAATCTGTCGCTCAAGAAAAATTAAGCCTGTCATTAAAGGACGCCCACAAGGAAGAACCAAAATGTCCCTGAGTGATAAATACTTGGTCAAAAAGGCAATAAAGTCATTGTCATTTTGTCAGGTGTCTCTCGCCTGAACTGCTTATCGGAGCCCATTTGTACACCTTTATCTGACCTAAATACTGCCCAGGTATATGCATCTCTGTCCTAACGAAATGGAAAACGAAAATTCATTGTTTTATCTATTTATCCCGAGTCCACTTCATAAGATGGTGAGTAAAGGTGATAACAGAATCTTTTGAGCTTGGAGCAGGAGAAGTACGTTTTATGGAAATTTTGGAACCAACAATGAAGAGTTTGTAGTTCCTTGTTTCTTGGCGGATGTCTATATCACCATTCGTGGCAGCAAAACGCATGCTGCCTCCACGAAACTAATCGCATGAGGTTCCTGCTACTTGTCCTTGGAACCTTAACAAATGACTATCAGCTGCAATATTCCACAAGACTATGGCCTTCAACAAAATCTGAAGTGATTCAAAATCGTCCAGCTGTACCCCCTTCCGGTGCTTAGCTGCCATACCACCCGAAGGATGCACGAGGGCTGGGATACTGTCAGGCTGCCCAATCCTAGACAAGAGAAGTCGAGAGACAGAGGTCGGCTTCGAACCTCCGATTCTGTAATTTTTGAAATGTCCCTATTAAATTTTCTACTTCCCCCTCCAACTGAGGTAGGTTCCTAACCTGAAGCACCCCCACTTTTTTGAGGAATAGTGGTATGATGTGTGCTTTAGGGCCCAAAGAGATGTCAAACGTAAATGTCTCTGTGAGACCAGCTTTTATACAGCTGTCATTTGTTGCCTATTTAACTTTAAAGCTTTACGTCAAATGTCTGAACACTAAGCAAATTTAGGTAGACCCAGACACTCACATCACTGTGGGTGAATTTTACCTCTTTCCTTCCGGTTCACATTAACGCTGGATGCTTATATGACTTTTTGAGAAAATAATGGCCAAGGCTTTCTGTCACCTTGCTACCCAGTAAGGTGTACGTCTCAAGAATAAGCACTCTTCATGTCACGTGAAATGACCCCATCGCACAAACTGTTTCGCTCAGTAGGTCACTAAAAGACGCGAGCCAGTGAAAACCGTAGTGCAATCTGCACTACTGAGCTGGCGCAAACCTTACTTGAGCGTGCGTTAATAAAATATGGCTTTGAAGCCAGGGTAAATAAACTAGCGAATTGAGCGTTCCAAGTTGAAGCTTTTCATAAAGAAATCAAATTTTTGAACTAACTCGATATGACACAAAAAGGCAAAAGTTGTCTAGTAGGTGCAAAACGAAAGAACGCAGGAATAAGAAACTTCT